TACCTACTAAGTCTTCAGATACAGCTGAAAAGAGTTAGATTGGCCAAACAGACAGATTACAGCCCACTAAATAAATTTCAGATTTGAAGGGTGACAAACTGTACTCCTTTAGTGGACAAACTCCCATGACATGATTGTGTCTGGCCAATTTCTACATTCCAGCTGCCTCTGAAGCCTGGAAGAGGCTACTTAAAGCTGGTGATGGCTTTGTTCTAACTTGAGGAAACTGTACACAATTCTTTTTTCAATAATTTTCATACTAACCTGGAGCCACGGGAAGTAGACTCCCTTTGGGTCAAATATTCCAGACCATCCCCACCCGTGGTAGTCAGAACAGGCATCCAGACGGGCGAAGTGGGACATGTTGGGAGCAGACTCATACCAGGAGGAAACCACCTGATGGTCTTCTATAGCATAGTCCTGCATGCCCAGCTGACATACATGGTCTGGACAATATGGGATACAAAAGGTTTATGGTGGTACAACAATTTTACAATGTACCAGGTAAAATGCATGGCATATACTGCTACATGTATCTAGACTTGTATCCTTTTCGATCACCTTCTTCAGAGTCAGGGTTAGGGTTATGGGTCTAGAAGGTGTGCTCGGTCATGCAAGACAGGAGCATGTGTCATCTTAGAGGATGAACTGAACTACTGCTAGTATATAATAAACATGACAAGAGAATTATCTATCACATTACGATAGAGTCTAATACAGTTATTTGTTCCCAATGATGGAAAGACTGGCCTTTGAGTTTTTGGTAAGACTTCAACTTGTCACAGTATTTCAACATTAGACATCAGAACTGTGAAAAATACCTTTCAGACTTAATCTACAAGCAGAATTCTTTAGGGGGCAAGACACATCAAGCCAGTCCCTAACCAATTGGCCTCATAGCTATGGGCTGGCCAACTATATGGCTTGACCCCCAAAAAAGATATGAATTATGACAAACCCACCCTCCTTGTCTGCATCTATCTCACACACATAGCTGAAGACATCCTCCCCGGCACACAGTGTGTCGTGCCACTGTGAGATGTGCCAGGTGTACTCATACCACAGCACTATACAGTCCTCTATCTCTGCTCCTGAAGGCTGGGTAAGGTTGTACCGACGGTCAATGTGTGACCTGGGAGTCAAAGAAATGCTTTATGCAGACTTTAATTTCAGAATTCTTCTTTTCCATGTTGTCTACTGAATGGGCCACCAGTCTGTTAGAGTAGAGAGCACAAGAACAGCAAAGACTAAGAGGACATGATGAAGTCTAAGTTAGATAGATAATCTTGTCAAATACTTAGAAGATTGAAAATTACCAGCACAAGACAAATTTTACCTGCACCAGACAGAACATAGAAAGACAGATCACATTAAAAGTGTTCAGAAACCATGGATGGTATGTCAGTGCAGCATACAAAAATCCACATACACCTATATCTTTATGTAACCTAAGCACATAAGTATGGAAGAAGCACTCACCATGCAGTGTATGACAGAGGGTGACCGTCAGACCATGTCATGTTATATTCAAACTCATTTCTGTCTTGTAGACCTGGAATGGACAAAGCAACAAATATTATGTAAAGAAACAAAACAGCATTGTTAGTATAATACATCATACAATGCACATGTACAACATATGTTAACAGAGTATTTTTGATTGTACAGTATGTAAATTTTCTATGTTTTATATACTAAGAAATAACAAAGACTGTAAATGTTATTTACCTGCAAAAATACCTCCTATAACATGAAAAAACAATAGAGACAGAAGTTACCTATGTACATTTTCTCCCCTCCTAGTTTCTCCCCTCTGGATTGGACTAAGTGAATGAGTGCTGTATGCAGAAACTCAGTCTCCTGAAATTTGAAAAATAAATGTTATGAGATATAAGAAAGCACCATAAAAGTGGGGGGGGGGGGATAGCAATCAGTAAATATGCCCTATCACTTAACTACAGTGTAATCTCTTCTTGTAACCACCTCTGCATAAGGACCTCCTGGCCATTGCTGCTTTTTTGACCGTCCCTTAGATTATTTTTGATTGAAAGACAAAGAATACTGTTCCAGGGTGGGTACTGTCCTTGGTGCTAATTGGAGAGTGGACATGGATCGTTAACGTTGTGTTCAAAACCATGCTTTATTCTGGATAGTCAATGCATATACATAACCGTTCCTGGGTCAAATCTACATGTAAGTTCTAGGATACACAGAAACTATCCAGAACCATGCCGGATCCTAACCCTGACACATTCATGCACGGAACTACATAGGCATGGTTCTGGACACAATACGGGTCATTAGTATATACAGACTGCCCTACCAGCCCATCTGCCATGCTGGCCAGAGTCCCATTCTTTGCCTCACACTCCAGCTTAGCTCTGGTCCAGGACAGGTGGGTGTGGTGGGTGAAAATGCCATAGCAACGGTCTTCATACAGGTCATACTCACACGGGCACTGGTACACTATATGTAGAAAAAAACATGAAGGCTTAACTCAATCAACATCACAACAATTCAAGGAATTTTGTAAGGTCTTTAATCATTTTTACCTAACTAAAGTGATGAAACTTTCTGTAAAGTATCTTTCCCAAGGCCATAACAGCATATTATAGGATTTGAACCCAGGACCTACATGTATGGGGTCTGAGCTAAACACCTAACCATTGTGCCACAGGATCCCAATATTGAATGAATAAATGTTTGACCTTCGTTAGGTTTGTAGACTGGGGGTAGGTGTTGGTTCTTGTAGAACGTGATGTTATACACAGCCAGGTAACCTCGGTACTGGAACTTGGTTGTATTGGACAAGGCTCTGACCTGAAAACAGAAGGACAAAAATCACCTGTTTTGTCTCCCAATCCATTGCACTCAGTGGCTAGTAAGATAAACAAATAAACAAATTCCTGGGCTAGGAGCTTTCCCTTGCCATTCAAATCCATTACCGTGCCTGGGCAAATCTACATTCTTACATATGCAGAGACAATCCAGAACCATGCCTGATCCTAAAAAACCCATTCAGCCATAGAACTAGTTGGCACAGTTCTGAATACAATAGCTCCAAACTCACAAACCCACAACTCAACCGCTCAAACAATACTTTCATAACATGGAAGTAATAGAATGACAAGGACAATGAACTTTTTTGCATATTCACACACAACATAGGCCAAACGAACTAGGTTAGATAACTGAAGTATAAGGGTAGGCTATGTCGGTGAAGGTTAGACATCCAGGTAATAAGATATGCCAAAAATCAGTTACTCAAGCAACTGGATACAATGACATATGATTTTGGAAATGGTCAGAGGGTATTTTCGGGATATAAGAGTAGGAATTACTAGAAAGAAAAGAACATCTGAGAAACTAGCTTGTCAGAATGCTGACATGACCTGCATAGAGTTGAACTTGGAGTTGAAAGGTTTGCGGATGTCCTTGGGAGAGCAGAGTCGAGCGCTCTCCAGCCACGGTCCTCCCGGGTACTTCTCATCCCGTAGGATCACGGCACGGTCAGCACATGAACCATCCGGCTCTACGGGGATGTCTATGTCCAGGACCTACTCATAAAAATCAGAGCATGTCGGCAGAAGATAAATTTGTACTGGAACTGTGCAAAACCTGTTATGTAGTGTTTATACTAGTCTACTTCAGCAGAACATTTCAAGGTCATATTTTATATTCAAGTAGAGCTTTGAAGAGGTTGTGTTGTAAAAGATATTGCCTACAACAGGCAAATTCTGATATAACATTGAACAACAAACATACAATGAACACAATGAAAATCCAGGTTTTGCGCAGGTGCAGTACATTCTCCAGACTTGCTGCACAGTCAGCATATTTACATATGGGGGGGGGGGCTTTATGTAGGCCGCCGTGGTTATAGGCCTTGAACTAGATTTGTCCAATCAGTACAGTCCTGGTCCATCTCCTGGCCTTTTTACTACATGAGTAAATTTCAAACATCAAAGAGGCTTAATGCTGAGAAAAATAGTCATTTGCAGGAATACCACTTTGCTGTTGTTTCAATGAAGATTAAGATTTCAGACATCTTGTTGCAATAAAGTTGAATTGCCTTGTATTACAAGAAACATGATTCAGTGAAAACAAGTAATAGTTGTGATGAACTGTGATACATAAGGAAGAATGATGACTCTACCTGTAAGACGATGTAACTCTTCCTTGGACCGTTGATCTGTACTGTACAGATTGAATCTGCTGGAAAGCTGTATAAAGATAGGCAGAGATTAGATACTCTATGAAATACTGACTCTGAGACTTTTCAATCACAATGGTGACATGAAAAAAGACAGATCTACTTTTGTGTGGTTACTTTTGGAAGACCTCACCCAACTCTTTTTATGTTAAAATTCTTCCTGCTGGAAGTAAGTTCTCATTCTTCTATACCTTACCTGAGAGGGTAACCAGGAGACCTGATGACACCACAGATGACAGAGTTTTCTGTGCCACACTGTACGATGTGATCACATGTGTCTGTGGCATGGCCACAGGACCTGCAAGCTTGGGGAGAAATTGGGAGAGTCAGATTAAAAATAGTTCATTGCAAACTTGTGTCTGTGAGCTTATTACAAGTGAACAAGTGATACTAGTGAACATACATAACATGAGTATACATGAGAGACAATCAATGAGCATTACACTATACTGCTGTCTATAGTAAGGTTCTAGAGTTTGAGCTGGTCAACTCCCTGTTTTCTTTGTATATTTGGGAGTCAGACCCTTGTGACTTTCTTGTGCAGAAGAATTTTTGAGATTAAAATGTGGGAAAGTACTTTTATGAGGCTTTGTTTCAGTGCATTGAACTATAACCTTCAACGCCCAAACCCAATGGTATTTACCCTTCATAGAACTTGATTGCATGACAATTGCACATGGTACATAATGTATGGCAAAGTACAGATCATGATTTGTGTTTGGTAAAGAGAACATGTGTGGCAATTCCCTGTACAGTACCATCCATGTCAATCATGCTCATTCCCCAGAACCTCTTGAAGTCCTCCTTGTAGGCATGTGGGTAGACAGGCTGGGCTGGGTCCTGGACCTGACCAGGGGTTTCATTCACCAGTTTGTACACAGAGTCTATGTACGGATTGATGGCTATGGTTGGACAAAAAAGTAGCATTATTAGATATGGTGTAGTTATGTATTCTCTTGATGTTTGTAGTGCCTTTGCATCATTTGTATTCCAACCAAAGCATGTTTTGCTCATGTCAAGACTTGGTGCATGAGCTATACATATCAGGAGAAACCAAAACATGAAATTCAGCACCAAGGACAGAGCTGAATGGTAGTGTTATTACTCATTTGTGTTTGAACCATAACAAAGTTTTGTACTGTCATTCAGCACCAAGGATAGCACTGTACATGTGCAAATAGGGCTTAGAGCAACATTACATACTGCATAAATATGAGTGCATTCATTCATTCCCACAATAATATAAATACAGATTTTTCTACTGACCTCGTTTACAGATAAATGGTTTCTTGGGAGAGTTGCAGTCACGGAGTATCCAATACCCTAGTATATCGAAACATTCATATGTAAGCATAAACAATGTGTGAAAAAAAGATGAAAAACAGTCATTGGAGCCAAAGGAATCTTGACTTAGTGAGTGAGTGAAACATTTGCCTACACTCAGGTAGCTGTAGTCATAACATGGTTATCTACCTTGCAAATCTAAACCTTTATCACACGAAAGTAGCCGTTTCGCTACCAATACTATATTGGTTCCAGGGTGAAAGTTAATGTTGAATGTGTTAGTCTCACCAGGAGGAGTCATCTCCACACATCGTGCATGGTCGTACACTGTGTCGTTAGGGTGCCAGGGGAAGAAGGGACGTAGGGGCATCCCATCCCGCCAGCGAATCGTGGCCATCACTTCTGGACGCTGCAAAACAGAAAAAGAACCAACAACATTAACACTCTATCTGCTGGGATCTTGTGGCATAATAGTTGGATATTTGGTTCAGCACCCATAGGGCCTGGGTTCAAACCCACCGACATGCCCCAATATTGTGCCCTTGGGAAAGTCACTCAACACAATTTTTCTCACTTCATTCAGGTAGAAATGACTACCTAGCTTTTTATTAGACAAATCCCTCAGATAGATTGATTTTGACTTATTGAATATACAGTATTCCTACATATGAGCTGTTCAGTTCATTAGTGGTGACTTGCTGGCGAGTAAATACCTGTTCTTGTCTGAACTGACTTGGATTCACATGTTCTGGCAGTCTCAGTCCAAGCCATCCAGTCCTGGCTCGGGCATACAAGAAGTCATGTTCCTCTGTAGCAAAGGAAACAACACAACAACTGTTTACATTCCAACCAAAGCATGTTTTACTTATGTTTTGTATTGTTGACACGGCTTAAGGTCCATATAATGTATCATGAATTGATTATGCTGGTACAGTTTGTTCAGAAGATTTCAGCACAAAGGACAGTACCATGCTCCAAGGGATAAGTCATCAAAATCATAGTACATAGATACATGTAAACAGAAGATTCTTTGTCATGTTTTGATAGATATTGTTCAGACAAAATACTAGGAGAACTCTTGAAGATGTAACATAAACTTCATTGGACAACAACTATGCATTGTACAATGTAATTGCTTATTGCTAATAACAATAATAATAAACTTTATTGCACAGCAACTGTACATGGTACAAAGGCAAATACTGGTACATAACTACAGTTCCATAAGGCTAATCTACCTCAAACAAGATTGTGTAGTATGGGACAAAAATGGGCAATTGGAGAAATTTCTAATTTCTAGACATTTGTGAATATATTTTTTCACTACCTTGAGTGTGCACAGACACCAGATGTCCCTGGAGTGCCTGACAGTACGTCTCAGCCAGGTCCCAGGGGAGGGGGGCCAGGATCCGCTTGTAACACTGCCCCCTGTACAACCCCCACCCCTCCCCACAGATCACCTCGTCTGGGATGGCTCTGTGGGTCTGACCTGGAATCAAAAATAGTCAGCATACATGTAAATACGTTAATGAAGCTTAGACATACAGTTAATGAGATACACAAGGAATTGTTACTCAAGCAACAAGATGAATTTTCAAAAGTTATCCAGTTGCTTGGGTAATAATTACTTAATAATAATCTCTGTCACATGAATAATGGTTAGCCATCCAGATACATGATGCAAGATAAAACAATGGATAAGGTGTCTGAAAGAGTTATACTTTTAACACAGCATCCAATGTCTTTTATAATTGACCGTAAAATGAGTCTGTGAGGGCAAGTGTGTAAACATCACATGTAATAGGGTCTCTGACATTAATGTACTAGTTTAAGAGAGCTCACATAAGACTGATAAAACACAGCTAGACATAACATACTATTAGCTAATTTAATGTTTTGGCCATCGTCAACAACTTGTTCAATAGCCCAGAACAGTAAATCTCTGTGTTAGATTGAAAACTGACAGGTAAGACAGACTTACAGACATCAGGGTGTTTGTTTGTTTGTTTGTTTGTTTATCTCACCTGTGACCCGACATCCCATGAACTCCACCCTGATAGCCAGCACAAAGTACCAGGACATGGGGATGAACTTCACCACACGTGTGCGCACAGGAGAGGGGAAGTCAAACCGGGCTCCCTTCAACCCATTTCCCTCCACGAAGAAAAGCTGTACAAGAAAAAAAGTGAAACATATTACATTGACTATTATGTATAGTACAGAAGCAAAAAGGAGAAAAAAAGAAGCAAAAGGAGCAAAAAGAAGCAAAAAGGAGCAAAAAGAAGCAAAATGGAACAGAGAGGGAAAAAATACATGTAGTACAAAATTTAACAAAACAGATGCTCTTAGATGTCTTCAAGCTATGTGTTTGCTTCATGCACACGTGTATGTTATACTTAGATATTTTATTATAGGGAGTTGTGCTCAGTAACATTATGATTTGGTTATTATTATGGTTGTGATTTTCATGCATTTCATGTACACCATGTCACCTGAAGCTACATAATTGTTGATCCAAATAAAGTCAAGACAAGTCAAGCTTCATCATAGGAACTTTGAAGCAAAGGAAATTCCAACAAAGTTTAAAGTTTCGAGCAAACCTCACCTTGTCCTCCCCATCCTCCTGTACCAGGGAGATGTTGGAGGCATCCAGTCCCCAGCCCATTTTGAAAATGGATGTCCAGGCCACGCCCACACCCCGGGTCAGGAAGCCGGACAGTTGGACAATCTCACCGATGTCAATCTGAATCCACTGTCTAATAAAACAAGAAATCAGATATTTCAGAGACTTCCCGGAGGTATGGCATCCCCTGCTCCTCTGTTTCCTTTGCCGGCTTTCATCTAGATTTAAGACATTTGATTTCCTCTCAAAGTTCATCCATCCATGTGCTGTCAACCTGTTCTGGACAGACAGACAAACACGCACACATGCACTCAGCCACCAAAAACTATGCATCTGTGCCCAGAACCAACAATAATGTTACTTTTGGTAAATGCTTGACAAACCTTTTTTGTGTGTTACTACTTAGTTTTCAAGATTTCTCTGGCACAAGGGGATCCAAGAACATAAAAAAGAGTAGAGGTCCTTCTTGGTGTGAGTGTTTCAAAATCCTACAGTACAAAACAGTGTTACAGTTGTAGCAGATTTATCAACAGGTCAATGTTGCCTACCAAAGAAGAAGTAGACTTTAGAAGGCCTTGGAAACCCTTACCTGTGGTTGAGTTCCCTGGTAGCCCAGGCGATGACGAAGGGTTTGATGTCGTACAGTCCGATGGGGTCCATCTTGACCCAGCCTGACGAGGCGTTGACCTGAGCCTCCACCATCTCACCCATGGCAATGGTCAAGGGGACGTTACAGGCACCGGTCACTACAGGGGTTACAGGATGGACGCAAGAGTTTGTAACAGTGAGGTACAAATGCCACCAACTGGCCTGTTTAACAGGTCTAGTCTAGTGGTTAGTGTGTTGAGTTCTCAAGCTAGAAGCCAGGGTTCGGTTCCTGGGAGCCAGAGGTTTTCATGTTTCTACTTGTCCCTAGTGTTCCAAGTTCACCAGAGGCACAGGGATATGGCCTATGGTTGTACTATAACTGAAGGATCTGTCCCTTGAGGCATTGTTAAAATGTACCAGAACAGTCCTTGCCTACTGACTAAATTTTTTTTTAGGAATTGCAAATTTGTTATAATCGTTTTCGTGGACTGCTCAATATTGATAGAAGTTTACCATTGCACTGCCACTCGTCAGACGTGTCGTTGCAGTGGAAGTGTCCATCGCAGAAAAACTCTGGTGGGATACACTCCCCTGATGTCAGACAGGGCAGTCGCCACTCACAGAACACATCTGGAAATTTCATGTAAAATTTGGTCAGAACTTAGCCACAAATTCTTAAAATGGAATATCCTACATCACCACAACAAATCTTACCAAGTATTGGAGCAGTATCCTACTGGGTATTTTGTCCAGATCAACTAGAGATAACAACAACCCTTCTAGCTAGCCCTGTTGTCCGCTGTAAAAATACTGGCAAAACGTCAGCGTTGCAGCGTTGTTCATTCCTACTCATAATTGCATAGAAAATGTATCCATAGTGTTAAAAAGGGTTCCTATCCCATGTACACTGCATATTAGACTAGGAAGCGGTCGGTTGAGGCCGTTTGAAGTCGGTTGGGGTACTTTCTCACCTCTGTCCTTGGTGCTGAACGCCATCTACACCCACACACATTGCACTTTGAATCCAGACTGCTAGAGGCCGCTCGTGCACGGCGTAGAAACGACTAACACCAAGTGCAAGAACACGGTCTATAAATAGCGCCCTCCAGCGGCGCGCCTCAAAGCGCGTTGTAACCTTGCCGTAGGCGTTATCCCGCCAATTTGTGTGTGTATCATCAAAGTCATGACCACATAACAACCTTACAAACCATAGTAACTCCTAATATTCTAATCCACGGTTAAAATCGGTCCAAAATGCGTCCGTTTGGAATGTCCCATATGTTACGATGCCCGCTAACAATCGCCCCCCTCCCCACTCTCCCCACATTTCCTGACGACAACATTGTTGATTCAACAGTCAGATTATCAGAAGACAAGACTGTCGATTTAGCAAGAACAACTTAATAATTTTGTAGTGTTAATCGAAACGTTTCTTTATTAGAAAGGGAAAAAGTCTAATATTTCCTTGTACGTATTCCCACAGTGCTTTAATCTTGAAAGGACGTTGACCTTGCAGTAGACCGTTCAATGGTCCAACTCTGCTCCCTGGCGATTTATCTCCAAAGTGCAGTTGTATTCGTACTGTTCTGTGCCCCCCTCCCCACCTGTTCTGACGTTTAAAACAGATGCTTCAGCCCAAATATTAGAGGATTGTCGTTTTAAAACCACCACAAATGTAAGTATTAGCGCTAGACTGAAAATCAAAAGCTTCCTCGGACGCACAGAAAAAAAAAACGTCTCAGAAACACTCCCACAATGCTTTGCTGTAAAAGATCATTGACCTTGTGCCCCCCTCCCCCTAATACGAGCTGTTACGGCGCGAAATTTAAACTTTAACGTCAAAGTGTGACCAACGCTCCTCGCCACTGACAAATATACACTTATGGCAACTATCAAATGGCTCGTGAAAGACAAGAATATTGTGAAAATTGTTAAAAACTACAACGCAAACGTCCACCTGTTCTAGAGTGCATATTTTATTGCCCTGCAATACCGATGAAAATTGATAGTCGCTTGTACGGCGCTTTTGATCCATGCGGTGCCAACTGGAGGGTGCACTTTTTAACATGGGTAATAGGGGTCGCTTCCAGCAACACCGTACTGACGCCAGATTTTCGACGCTGGTAAGTTCATTGTTTGTTTGC